TATATATATATATATTCACCCTTGCACATTTCATTGTGATTGAACATCAAATCATCAAATACCAACTCTCCCTTTAGTGGCGGTGTCTGACAATCAGTAGGGACCTCAAGGAACAAGGTCCAATCTGCTACTGCAGGAGTCTCAGACAGCTTGACATAGGTCTTACATTCTCCATTCTTTGTCTACCTGTGGAGATAAGTGTGGTACTTCGAACAACTAAGGCTCCTCCAGTGTTGTACAAAGCCTGACTGCAAGAACATCTTGTAAGTGTATAGAGAACGTAATGTAAGCTTAGAAAGAGGTTGTTGCTATTTTGCCAGTCTACCCACCACATTCACTAGAGCTAGGCATACACCATTCCCTATTATTTTTTTTTTTTTTCCGTTTACACTGCGGGCTGAATGAAAAAATAGGACGCATTCCTCCAACGCTCGCATGCGGTGATCGAGGGATACTCTGCTGTTTCTATTGTATCCTGACAGCAGCAACTGTCAGAATCCCCAAACGGAGCTTGCAGCTGGTTGGCTACTAGCTCCACTCGGCTGAGAATATTCGAACCCGGAAGGGTGCCAACTTGTTATCAAGAAGCAAAGCCTACATATGCACACAGCAAATAAGACTGCAGTCTACATTTTCAGATATTTAGACTGCAGCCATATTTTGCTGTTTGCATATGCAGGATGTGCTTCTTGAGAAGTTAAATTATTGCAAAGCATTGCCGTTATTTATAAATGTATTATACAGTAGGTTTACACAGACAAATTTGTTCATACCACTTGACGAAAACCCCCCACAATTTTCTCTGAAATAACTTGAAACCGACCAACCAAAGTAATTGGCCAGGAGATGAAGGTAAACAAGCCCCATAGAAGTCTATGGGGCTGTAACTTTGCTTTTGATTCAACATTTTAAAAAATGGCATGGGCAAAACAATGAGATCTTTTAAACTAATATGTTGTTGCACAACCTTAAGTGGCGATCACTGCAAACAAGGGATTTTCTTTAGCTCTCAGCTGAGACTTCTGCACCTGCCATAAGATAGTTTGGCCAACTGTTCCTGAGCAAACTGCTCCAGCTGTCTCGGGTATGAAGGGTGCTTTTCCCTAGACTGTATGTTTCAGATTTCTATTATTATACAAGATTTATCAGTCCGTCCCTCACAGTCCATGCCCGGGCAATAACTGCCACTACAGAGCCAGCAGGCAAATAGGTAGTCCCTAGCAGGCACAGCCCCCCACCGCGGTTGTCACCAGTAACCGTCCCCCCGCAGGCAGACAACCCTCCTACAGCACCTGGCTCCCAGTGCGTCCTCACCCAACCGCGTGCCAACATGAAAGACTGATGCGGACGGCTGACGCGCTATTACAGGGACCGGGGAAGCGACGCACCGGAAGTGACGTCAGGAAGAGGGCGCCATAACCCACACCAAAAACGGCAGCCTCCGGAGATGGCTGCAACAGAAGCAGGGGGCTCAATTAGCGGCGCACGCACGACCAAGCTCCAGCCTGACCCAGAAGCGCCGCGAACCGCATCCCCCAGGGAGCCTGAGCTACTCCCTCAGGCCAGCCAGGAACCGTCAAGGCCCCACAGGGCCACGACACCCCAAAGCTCCCCTCAGAAAGATGACGGAGGGGGGATGGGAAGCCAAAGGGAGACCAGGCAGATCATGGTCTCCCTTTGGTCACACGCAGCGCCATACATACCACACAGGAGAGAACGCGGGTCATCCGCAGTCCAGGCACCTTCACCAGGCCAGACAGCTGCGCAGGGGACACAAATGCCCTGGTGCTGCTGGAACTCGCCCCCCGGACCGCAGTTGGGTTTGTTGCTCCTTTGGCCCACCCCTCTTTTGGTACTGCTCTGTGACGTCCCTACAGTACATGATCCTAGATCGGTTTCCTGTGTCCTTCAATGAACGGAAGAGCAAATAGGATTTTGGTACTCACCGTAAAATCATGTTCTCTCCGTTCATTGAAGGACAAAGGTCCCGCCCCTCTGTGTGGGTGTGTACTCCTAACTGCTTGTTACTAACTGGAGACTTGTCAGCAGGTGGAGGGTTTGGCCACCAGCGGGCGCCGCCCGTAGGCTGTAATTGGTCTTTAGTTTTGTGCCCAGCGTCCTCCTGCAGGTGGCGATATTACCTACAGTACATGATCCTAGATCTGTTCCCTGTGTCCTTCAATGAACGGAGAGAAAATTATTTTACGGTGAGTACCAAAATCCTATTTTTTTGCCAATTACATGCATGTCATAATAGATTTCTTTAGTGTTTGCGGTATGCAAGTTCCTCTCTTGTAACCCTTTACACATTTCATCATGCACTGACAACTGCTTGGGTTAATTCTGGATTCCCAGTCACCTGATCTGACTTTAGTAACCCCCTTCTTCTTCTGCAGACAAAGGATATTTCCATATTTTGTCTTCAGTAGACTTCTCTGCAGAAAATGTTTCTCATTCACTGGAAGAATTGGAAATGCAACGTCCTTACCTATTAGGGGATGAACATACAGATAAGGCAGATGGAATAGTTGATTGACCCACAGAGAAAGAAGTGGGCTGAGTAATTAAATCTTGTAATGGCAATCTAAAAGGACTGAAAGGATAAAGATGACTTAAATCCCTTAAAAAGCACTGGGGATTCTTTGGCCATGAACTTATCAATACATAGCGGACAAATACTTCTTAAAAGAATTTGGAAACTTGAAACAACATGCTCCACATCTTCTGCTTCTAGGTTTGTCACATGCAACAGGAATCTGGTCTTTATATTCTTACGCCTGAAAGATTTCCTGATTCAAATACTATAGGGATTTACTGTGTATATACTGTACAGAGAAAGAACCTTCCAGTTCTCCAATAAAGAAGCAAAAGCTGACTATTCACATCACCTTCCCGATGCCCAGGGGATGAAAAGCCCAACTAGACCCATGTAACCAAGAGGGGATAGTTGTCATCCCAACTAGGGAATAAGTAAACTTTGGAGAAAAAAGTAAATTTATTCTAGGGGATCCGAAAGCAAGTACAAAAAAATTCCCCTACCCACCTTTCTCATAGGCTCTCAGGTTACTGCTCTAGGAAACCTTCTGTGTCCAGGTATGGCCCCTGCGCTACGGCCTAGAAAAATATATATATATACACACACACACCGCCCCAAGATCCTTTGCAGCTGCCCGAGACTCTTCAGATGTTCGGACGGGAGCGCGTGGCAAAGACAAAAGGTAAGTTTAAACCCTTTTTAAAAGTTTTTGATATATCTACTGCTTGCTATATAACCCTTTAATGTGTGAGTCTTGAGTTTCCTGTTTAGGTGGGTGGTGCCCTCTCGTGTTGTCCTGGCAGATGATTAGGGAAATGACAGGATTATAGCACAAGGCTGATGTGCCATGTGCAACGTGGCAAGCACCATTTTGCTTAAAAACAGGGTTTCATTTACTATTATTATTAATGTAGCGCTGACAAGTTACGCAGCGCCCACACAGATGACATTCACATCAGTCCCTACCCTCAAGGATCTCACAATCTAAGGTCCCTCTTTCACATGCATGCATACATACGCCAGTTTAGACGAGAGCCAATTAACCTTCCAGCATATCTTTGGAGTGTGGGAGGAAACCGGAGTACCCGGAGAAAACCCCCACAAGCACAGGGAGAACATGCAAACTCCTTGTAGATAGTGACCTGGCTGGGATTCAAACCATGGACCCCCAGTGCTGCAAGGCAGACACGCTAACAACTACGCCACTGTGCTGCCCAATATGGTAGTAAATTTGCATACATATATTTTTATATCCTTGTGTTTATTATTGGCAATAGAAAAACAATTAGAAAAAAAAAGGGCATATTTACTATAATATTTTTCCGGGGGGGTTTATCTAATTTGCACACTTCCATATATTCATCTCAAAATATAATCCACTGATTAAAATATCACATTAGTGCAACTTGTAAGTAACTTATTAGAATGGGAAAACTCAAAGTGAATATATGCATTTTACTTTACAAGAGCTTTATTCCTCTTTTGACACTAAATTGCGTAGTAATGAGGGGGAAAAAAACGTGTGCATACATTTTTAGCATCACATAAGCTAAGATTAATGGGTTGATGGGGAGCACAAATTAACACACCAGCAACCTTTTCACATGTGTGAACTGGGGAGGGAATATTTTGGGGATATAAATGTAGATATTTATATATAAATTATATGTAGATGCTGTAGCTTTCATTTTTTCTAAAAAAATCAAAAAACATTTATTTTTATTACACCTTGGTTTTTTTTTCAAGGATCGCCAATGACCAGATTCAGACCTCTATGCAGCTGGGCCCATTGCTGGCTGCAATCAGCAGTATGTTGCTGCAGGGAGGTGCCAGACAGGGCTGTAACAGCACCGTACACAGAGGAAGTGCCATGCCATCACTACACCACCAATGTAAACAGATTGCTGACACTTTCCGTTTACATTTGCTTGCTTTTAGAAGCATCAGAAACTGATCATTTCAGGTCCAGACAGCCACCGAGGTCCCCCAGTAGCCACTAAGGCAAGCTGCCATTTTTGCATGACAGCTGGGACTCGAGTAGTTAAAGTGGTATCAAAGTCAAAAGGATTTTAAGCTAATTTCAAGTGCTGATGAAATCACTTACAATGGATGCTGCTCCTTGATGTTTAAAAGTTTTAGTTTCATGCAGAAGCAGATGGTCCACCAAGCATTGACCCCGATTTCCTGTTTTTGAGTGCCTCCATTCTCAAGCAGAGTGCAAAGCAGTCACCCTTGTGTGCGCACGCGCATCTCCACAAACACAGCATATCAAACTACTCCTCCCTCCTCCAAGCTAGTAGATGAACAGTTGCTGGGAGTCTGCTTTTCTTTTGTGATCTTGCACTGGACAGCAAGTTCAGGGAAGCAAAGCTGAGAGACTTGGAAGCAGCTGTTCAGAAACATGATGATTGTAAGTGTTTGGCCAAAAATGTAACGCATTGCTTAGCTGGGCAATGTATAATTGTTTGATCTGGATTCATTATTGAAAACAAGTTTGAGAGTTTAATTCTACTTTAGCATTTTGTAAAATCTGTCAGTTTTTTTATAACATTACAACTTCTTATGGTATGAAGCAGCTTTCCTGTATAAGGCCATATGCAAATAAATGGCTCCATACACATAGCTGCGTATAGAGCCATATATTTGTGCTGCGTAAAAACAGAATAGACACAAGATGCGTCCAGGCAATGTATTTCTGCGCATTTTACACGCGTATACACACACAATACAGTTCATTAACATTTCTATTACGAATTATGCATTCTGGGATTGTATATACGCAATATACAATTTTGCTCTTGCGTTGTGTGCACATGAGGCCTTAGGGTGTTCATTTGAGTTGTTTTTAATGATGAAGAATTAAAGTTCTTAGCTAGGTTAATATCAACAGACCATATTTCATGGATGTAAATGACAATGACTAAGGACTGAGAACAGTTTTACTACAGTTCATAAATAGTGGTCCGTTTTCTTTCCAGCTACATCTTTAGAGACGACACAAGCCCATTACACTTCTGAAGAGACGTCTGTAGGCAATGATGTCCTTTTAAGCAACAGCTCATCATACTGCTTTTGGGAAAGGAGGCCTTCTGTAACAGTCTTGCTCTCTTCAAATTTTGGCAGTACAACAGCAATGTAACCTTCCCCTGTTGGCTACAATAAAAAAAGAAAATATAGTGACTTGATTTTACCAAATGGAAGTTATTAATAGGTACATCAAGCATTTAAAACAACGTTTTACTGAAGTACAATAAATACATCAGAGGAAGAGCAAAGGAAATGTATATGCTGCTGAGCATGGGGAATAACAAGCACAGATTTTAAAGAAGGCAAAGGGAATACTCACCAGTATCGTCTGTGGTTTCCCTGCAGCTGATCTTTCCCACTACTAACTTACCAAGCCTTGTTCTGCACACTTTTGTCTGTGTGGTGGCAGACTGATTTCTGCATGTCAGAGCTGCCTCCCCAATAATAATTATTAAAACTCCAACCTTTCCTTTAGCCTTGCACAGTTGTACAGGCTCCTCTCCTCTACTGAAATTGCTTACAGTGATTTCACTGCACAATGTGGTCTTCTCACAGTGTGTATAAAGGTGCCCATACACTCTACAACCCTCGCAAGACTTTTGTCTTGCGAGGGTTGTAAAATATTTTTTTTAAAAACATACGATCTGCCCATCTTGGACAGGCAGATCGTACTTGCGATCATCGCAAGCATGTCCCCCCCTGAGGGGGGGGTTTCCGATGACTGCAATGCTGAACGGGCAGTGTGCGAGTGCGCACACCGGCCCGTTCAGCAGTGATCTCTTGATCATGTTAAAACCAGCCGAAAATCGTACGATTCTCGGCTGGTTTTCCAACATCTAAAAAACACAAAAGAAGAGGCGCCTTTCCTGGTGCAATATCATTTAATCCAAAAAGACAGGCATAAAGGTGAATTGACAGGTACTCACTATGTTGAAGATAAAAACAAGCCGTTGGACAATATGACCAGAGCAATAAAAAGATCCGGATAGCGTGTCCTGTGTAAAGCACTGCTGTGTCGACGCGTTTCCGGGGCACGCCCCTTCATCAGGACGTGCCCCGGAAACGCGTCGACACAGCAGTGCTTTACACAGGACACGCTATCCGGATCTTTTTATTGCTCTGGTCATATTGTCCAACGGCTTGTTTTTATCTTCAACATAGTGAGTACCTGTCAATTCACCTTTATGCCTGTCTTTTTGGATTAAATGATATTGCACCAGGAAAGGCGCCTCTTCTTTTGTGTTTTTTAGATGTTCCAGTACCCTTGACTGTTTTGAGGCTGCACCTTGCATATGTGCTTACGATTTCTTCCCCAGGAGGGATAAGGATTGTCCTTGGCGCTTTTAAAACCATAAACCTTTCTGGTTTTCCAACATGCTCGATGTACAAAAGTCGTGCGACTGTACATTAGAAACGGCTGCACGCCTTCCATACACTGCACGATTCTCGTACGAGAATCGTGCAGTGTATGGGCACCTTTAGAAGCTGCAGCAAGTCACAGAGCCTGCCTCATTTCCTGGCTGGAGGACATCCAGCATCATCTAGCCCTATATTCCCCAGCATTAATGTCCCTACCCCATACACTTTCATTTATTTGATTTCAGTTCTTTGTCATGGAGGCTTGACATCATATGTGGGCATTACCTAAGGTGAGTCTTAGGTAATGCCCACATATGAAATGCAGTCTGCCTATAAAATGTCCACTCCTCTAGGATCCCATCAAAACATTTTGATATTTTCATAAATCCTCAAGAGCCAACCCACTGCAATGTTTTAACCACTTCAGGACCGCCATATGTATATATAAACGGTGCTGTCCTGAAGTGGTTATACCAAGATCACAGCCATTGATGACTGTCACGTACAAGACTTCGGGGAGCTATAGAGCTGGGTAGCGTGTAAACCCCACCCCCTCTGCTGACTGCTATCCCGGGATCTGCTTTCCTCTGTGCAGACCTGGGAGCAGCATGGTAGGTCTGTGTACCTCGATTGGAGGGTGGTCAGCATACTTCCAAAGGCTGATCTCCAATCAATGAACCCAGAAATGACATGTATTACATCAGTTTCAATTTCACTTTGTCATTTCTCTAGCTGCTGTGACCAGAGGAGAAGCTGATGAAACCCAATCTAAGACCCCTGATGTCTCCCAGAAAAAGGAACTGTAACATCCTCTTTGCGATCACATAGCGGGATAGTTAAGCCCATACGAGATAGCAATAAAGTTAAGTCACAAAATAAATGTAAAAATTGTTTGGGTTTTTTTTTTTAAAGTCCCCACCCCTACATACAAACCTAAAACACACATCGGCGAACTGTAAGCAGGGTGACTGGTGTCTAGTACTGTGTGGCAGAGTGGCTTTATGTGCGTTCAATGTGCATGGTCTCCAGGGGCTGTACACAAAATACTGGTTTAGAGCAGAGAGGACGAGCCTGCGGAAGTCCAGGAGCCATGCTGGTCAGGCAGGGCTGCAAGCTGAGCCTGCTCTATGGAGGGTAAATTTGCACGGTCACTGAAGTGTGACCTATGGTCCAGTGGATTCAACACAATACTGACAGCGCTCTGTCATCCTTACTTTCATGACTTCCCTAAAAGCATACTGACACCCTAGAATAGTCTGATTGGTCCAGCCCTGTTTTAACTGTTGGTTAAAGAGGAACACCAGGCAGAGAAGTATTATGTGAATGGACAAATGAAAAGGGGCAGATAAACAACACCATCATCATTACCCTGTATGTAAGCCACAGCAATACCTATACTTTTCCATCATTGATAAAAATATGGAGAGTCACACTACAGAGCACCAATCTGGTAGTGGGATAACCCTCATTAGATCTTACTTTCTTTTTTACACACAAGGTCACAAATTCCATTGCCTGTAGTTCTACTTCAACTATAGTCATATACAGATTAAAACACACACACACACGAGAAACCACCTAGGTGGAGATTTTTTCAAACGTTTAGGCCGCACACCCCCATCCCTCAGCTAGGTAATAGGTGGCAGAAGCTTCTCCAAACATCAGTAGCATTTTGCAAATACAATACAAAATCATTCATAAAACATGCTCAGCGACAACCTCTTCCCCTCCCAAAGAAATGAACCCAGAAGTAGTCTGCACAGGTTGCTTGTGGTTCATTTAAAAAGGTAATTCAACTGACTGCATGAAATTACAATGCAAGGTACCCACATAATTTCCCAAAACAATGCTGGTAAACCTCTCATCACACCTACCCAGCACACTTTTTCCCCATGCCCATAGTCCAAATGCACATTTGTTATAAGTATACCCTTCTTTGTGCCACCAGCAAGTTCAATTATAATTCCTGGGCCTCGCTGAAAAGCTCCAGGTCTAACAACATGTGGGTCCACAATTGTCAGAAAGGCGTCACTGTCCTTGAAACATACCACTGTTCTCCCATCAATCTTTACAAGCTAAAGTTGGTTTGGAGTGGCTGGACACAAGAGACTGAATCCCATAGACTCCTGGTGGCCTTTGTGCTGGATGGTGTCCAGGATAATGCCCAAGTGGTGATGTAGGAATCTCTTTGTGCGCCAAGTACTGGCAACCCAAATGCTGCCGACTTGACTTTGGTTGATCAATGAAAGGCTGAACTCCATAAACCCCAGAAAGATTGCATGCCAAGCTGGGCTCTACAGAATATTTGGCAATGTGGGCAAAAGTCTGTGTTCATCGGACGAGGCATTTACATGGTGGATAGGGCTTTGCTGCACATTCTGAGGACTTATAGAGCCACAATATTATGGTATATGTCCAAGTTGACCACAAACATAGCACCATTTATGTGCAGTTTGAGGTTTTTCCACGGATATGAGTGCCATGCAGTGCATCCCAAGGCTGGATGACATTTTCCTTTGTGATAGAGGGGGCGGTACAGAGCACATTTACTTTGAGAGTGAAACTGACAAGGTTTTATGGACAAAAGTTAATCTGCCAAATAGACTGCAGCCTCAACTGTGGCTGGCTTCCTTTTATTAACCCACTCGTGTATCTCTGCAGAGGATTTACTAAAAAAAAAGTTATTTTAGAAAAGTCTGGAGTATATAAATCAACAGTAAAAGCCTGTTCTCCCTCCAGCCATCTGTGACAGGCTATAGTCATCCTGTGGGCATACATTTAAAATGACCCGCTATCATTGCATGTCTCTAAATTGGGTGCAGTAAAACTCTGTCATAACTGCATAGTATGAAAGTACTACTTGGGCTATGAAAGGTACCTTTTCATAGCCCAAGTTTTAAAGATTTATAGTTCGAAAGGCCTCAGCAGTTATCCCATTATGCACCCTGGATGATAGGCAGACCCATTTTTTGGGGGTCCTCCAATAATTGGCACAGATTCTCAAAATCCTAGAAGAAGCCAACAATATCATCAGTCGCCTTATTAAAAACTTGTGTTTTAACAATTGAATTGTGTATTTTTATCGGTTTAATATTAATTTGAGAAACATTTGCGCAATTATCGCAGGGCCTACAAATTTAGTATCACCATCTTTTTATTCTACCGGGCCTGCGCTTTCAGAAAATATATGGTTTGGGGGGTCTTTTACAAACGCTAGCAACGCAGCAGTTGAAAATCAAATCAATAGGAAAAAATTGCAGAAAATTCAAAAATGGCTTGGCCAGCTGATTTGAAAAATGTTCCGGGGGGCTTGGCAGCGAAAGGGTTAAAGTCTTGTTTGTGGGTTTTTGGATGCTGATTGTAAGCCGCCTCCCTCCCTTGAGCCCTCTGCAGTGCGAAATAAGTGCGTTCTCGTTGGTTTGCTCTTTTAATGGCTTCTTGTTTAATCGTCCAGAGTGGCCCGTTTTCCCAGTATGGCCATTTCCTCTTCATACCAAGCCACACATTGAATTTTTGTTGACTTTTAAGCAGTTGTTCCTTGAAGCTCTGGCCTGGATAGTTCACTTAATCCCACCACTGCCACCAGTGTCAAGGATCACAAAACAGGGGTGAGATTCCAGGCCCAAATATCAAAATCTATTTACAAACTCTCAGCCAATGATCACATTCTTTAATCCTGTAGTATCCAGGACCTAGCAAAACAATCTACACCTACACATCTAATGTTTTCCTTTGTCTCACCATAGCCCTTGACACACCCACAGGATGACCACCTGGGTGGGTGGAGATCTTCTCAAATGATTAGGCCACACAAACCCAACCCCCAGCTATGTAACAATAGGTGTCATAAGCTTCTCCAAACATCAGCAGCATTTTACAAATACGATGCAAAACAATTTAAAAAAAAAACATGCTCTGACAAAATATAAAAGGAAATGTGAAGACTTTTTAAAAGTTACATTTTGACACAAATACTCCACTCAAAGAGTTTGTGAATGGACACCCCAACAGTGTTCATGCTTCCATCTTCAAAAAAATATTTATTGACTTTAAATTATTAAGGTATTACCACAGCATGAATGTAACTTTTTACCTCTGGCATTACAACTTTGTTGTCATATGCAAAAACCAAAGTGCCAGTTTACAAAAGAGAACTTGTGTGTATACTTGGCAAGTGTAAAAAAATTTAATCTCACCACTGCAAACCCAAAAGATGGTGCTGAGGATGCCAGCAGTGAGCTAATCTCAAGCAAGCAGGAAATTCAGTCACCTTACTCAGTTGGGTTATATAAATGTACATGTTAAATTTGAAATAGCAATAGTTAAGTGTACTTTAAGCTTGTGTGAAATATTAATTGTGTGCTGAGTTGCTGGTTTTTAGTCTCAAACTATCATTCTGAAGAAAAGCAAAATATTGAAGTAACCTAACAAATTAATCGCATGCTTTACCTCCCCTATACAAATCAATACAACATAATGATCAAGAGCTTTGCTGCAATTACTCAATCAAAATATAGTTAAAGATTAAAACAAGTTTGCAAACAATTTAGAAATTCTTTCAGATGGAAAATGGTCAGTTTAAAAGAGAGTGTATGAGTGATCTGTGATAATTACCTTTTCTTTTAATAGTTCAGGATGAGGAAGAATATTTTCATTAACTTCTAGAAGCCGACCTCTGATACAACTAGATCAAAAAAATAAAATTAAAAACTAGAATTAAAAAAAATACTTCTAGAAGCCGACCTCTGATACAACTAGATCAAAAAAATAAAATTAAAAACTAAAATTAAAAAAAAAAAAAAAAAAAAAAAAAAAGGTATGGGTGTACTAGTATAAAAGAAAAACATTAAGTCTATGGTGTTCTACAAAAGAGATGGATCCCCTTGCTACATTTCTCTACATGACATATGAATGTTGAGGGAGAGCAGAGGTACTACCATATAAAAAAGGCAGTTGGTCTAAAAAAATTTACCCTTGAGTGGGGATAGCTTGGTACACCCTGTTCAAATAAACTAAAGAATTGCAAATCCAAGGTGGTATTAAGTCCAGCTATCAACTTTGTTATGCAGCAAACCTCTTTATAGACAATTATGTTCAGAGAACATGTTTGTCTTACAGGTCAGCAAAAAGTGTTAGTACATGAAACTATCCTTCAGAGATATTATCCCTCAAACAACATTTGAAAGTACCATGTGATGATATAGGCTTATGTTTTTTATAGTGTATTATACTACCACTGCAGAAGGTATGTGAATTCATTTGTACAACTGTGCTGTGAAGCAGAACATGTATTAAATATGTAAGAGCAAACAAGTAATATAGTAGACAGTATGTTAGACAGTAACTAGCAAAGACCATTTAGCCAGATAATCTACCCTGGACAGGAAGACAGACCCTTTAACATTATTACATTTTATCTTTTTATTAAGCAAACCTTTTTTGTTCTGTTTTTAGGATATGATTGCTTTAAACACATATTTGCACCGCAAAACACTCCCAATGGCCAACCATTAGTAAATACAAGTATTGGACCAAGAAATAAAACATCAAATCTATCTGATATAAAAGTCCTTGCCGTGAAAGCATTGGGTAGACTCTCTTCAGATGAATTAGCAATGTACTTATTATTCAAGTCATTGGCAAAGTAGTGTCAAAGGCTGGAGGATTTCCTCATAGAATTGGGCTGTGGGAGACCCCAAAAAGGAGAGATTGGTTGTTAGTGCAACATGACCAAGATGGGTGTTCTTGTTTGGAGGGCAAGACCACTGTCTGGACTCTGCATCAGTCTTTTTAAAGTTTAAACATCTGTTAGGAGTATGACCAAGACAGACTGACTATTAAAGAAGAACTCTTTGGAAAATAATTTTTAACCCTTGTGTGGGCCTACCCATGCACTGCACGGGTTAACTGCTCATTTTGGTTTAGGGATTGAAGAAAGAAAAAAAAAAAGTTAGTTACCTGATCCTCAGAGCCAGCTTGCTCATAGACCGGTCGCTGGGGACTCTCTCTCCCTCCGCTGCAGCGGTCTACGGTCCTGCGAGTCATCACGTCCTATACACCAGTGTATAGGACGTGAGGACGCCGAGGGACATTACATTGCTGCAGAGAAGAGAGGCGGGAGGGAGCGCTGTCACAGCTGGCCGGCTCCACGGATTGGGTGAATTTAACATTTTTCCTCCCTAGACCAAAATGAACAGTTAATAATAATTGTTCTGCTTTAAAAAAGTAGGATTCTGAAGAACTGAAATGCTGTTGGTTTAAAAGTTATTTTTGAAGTTTGATGCTTTTTTTCAGTCCAATTATGTCAGGTGAGCCTTCTATTGAAGTAAATGGTTTGATTTTCCACATTGTAACGTATGTAATATTACACTGGAATTAGCATTGAGTTCTATAGTCCTGCCCAAGAGCAAGGAGTGGGAAAAAACAAGTTATTTTATTCAGTTTTAACATTGTCTAGTTTTGTGGGTAGATTTTAAACTTGTAAGACTAAAGATTTCCAGTTACTCGTGAATTTAGGGTGGAATGTGTTGCTAGATTAAAGTTTATATAATCTTTTATCAAGTTAAAGGGTTTGAAATGCCACTAGTATTACAAAATTCATAGAACAGTCTTGCCAACTACAGAGAAATACAAAATTTGCAGCTTGCTGTGTTCTATTAAGCAAATGGAACAGAGCTGCCCCTTGAGTCTAGGGCTGCAACAACGAATTATTATCGATGATGGAAAACCTTGTCAAAGTTTTCAATCATCGATTAATCTGCTTTCGATTAGTTGCCCGCTTGTGGCTCCACACAAGCTGCACGTTGCTGCTCCTCCCTGCCTCATGCTCGCCGCTTCCAGACCCGTCCCCTCCAGGCCGCATCCACGATTGGCACAGGGACGCAGGGAGAAGATGAAGCAAGGAGGAGCAGGCGTGGGGGGACAGCCGCCAACAGACAGGCCCGATCTCAGAAGCAAGTTGCTGGAAGACTGCTCAAGTAAGCCTGCACTTCTCCCCACATGGCACAAAGTAGTGCTGGGATAGTGGGATTTGTAGTCCTCTATAGCTGATGGTACATCGTGCTGTATATTATACAGAGCAAGGTACCATCAGCTATAGAGGAATACAAATCCCAGAAATACATTATACACTTTATGAATGTGGTATTCTGCATTGTGTTCCTGTATAATGTATTATTGCTGGGATTTGTAGTCCTATATACAGCGCAATGCAGAATACCACCAGCTATAATGTACTATTGCTGGGATTTATTGTTTCCCTCTATAGTTGGTGGTATTCTGCATTGCGCTGTATAATTTTGCATTTCACTACATTGCACACCACACTTTTTTTGCTCCTGTGATGGACTATAATCTCAATACAAACTAGTAGTCCATCACTGGAGCCATTTTTTTAAAATTACTTATATTTTATCTGGTTAATCGAACTTAATAAATCGGCTAAGTAATCGATTTTGAAAATAATTGTTAGCTGCAGCCCTACTTGAGTCCTGAATTTGGAATGGACATTACTGTTGAACCTTTGCTTTTAACACTATAAAGAGATGTTAGAAATGCTGTTAGGACCATTCAAACTCAGCAGTCTGCAATGATGTCTGCTGGTTTGGTCCTCCCACTGAGACAGATAAAACCTGAGGTAGAGTCCTGAGACTGCTATTTTCTATAAACTGTGACTCAATTGTATTTTTCATTCTTTTGCATTGTGTGTGTATTATTTCACTGATATGGAATGGTTTCCCTAAGTTTGGAGACATAGCATTGTAAGTATAATCAATTTCCTTGCGGTTATTGCACATTAATTTAGGATGAACAGCGCAGGCGACTGGTGATCTGTTCAATAACTGATCATTGAATTAAGAGTCTAAGCACCAAGTAATATAAACATGAGCTGCAATGCATGTTGACATGCACTTTGATGCATTTCCATTGATTTACAAAATGCATCTGGCAAAAAAAGAGAGAATGCTACTTTGTAAAGCAAAAATTGTGTATACACTAATTAAAAACAGATAAACATAAGTTTAAGAAACCTTAAAAAAAAAAAAATGGCCCACAACCAGCATTACGGAATGTTTCCCATAAGGAGTATGAACACACTATGATTTTAAGATTGTATATAGTATTTAATTAAATTTTTTAATTAAAAACATTTTTAAAGTTTGCAACTGCTGTTCATATACATATAATGCAATGATTATGACACACACAAAAAAAAGCATACCTATAAACAGTATACTCATCACCATCGCTGCAAGTTATTCTACATAAAGGTGCAAGTTCTGTTAGGAACTGAGCTCCCTGAAATGAAAAAAGGCAATTCAAATAAATTGGTTTGGTTTAATTTTTCTAATCATTAATCTGCAACAAATATTCTAAATGTCTTTGTTTATGCACAGCATGATGCACAGAGTACGGTTGCAACCAAAGGCTAACAAACAAAAAACTGATAAAGAAATTGCTCCTCCTCCATTGTCTCTTTCATTAAAAGACTGCTTTTTTCCATGATAGGCTGACAAAGGGCATACTGCTATCTTCAAACTGCAGTGCCATCTGCAGGCTAAAAGGTTCAGAAGGTAAAGCATCATAGCAAAACCACTCCGATTGGATCCTGGTTGTTAGTAGGGGCCGTGGTGGTCAGTGGGAGCCAGTATGACAGTGGGGGAAACGTAGATTAAACAGGACATCATGCAAGGAACCTTAAAGGAGAACTATGAGATGAGTGATTTCCACTCACCTCATAGTTCTAGCCGACCTGTGACAATGAGACTGTCACAGGTCGGCTCAGTAGATCGGGAGGTGAGCGAACACATACCGGGTTCGCTCACCTCTCGATCCTGTCATGGCTCTCTGCCGTGACAGGGGGAGGGGCTGGATTCCCCTCTCCGATCTGACTGGCGGAATGGACGGGGGAGGGGGCGGGTACACCTGGCTCTGCCTCTAGATAGGCAGAGCCAGCTGTCACTCACGCAGCTGGGCGGATCCCGACGCCCATGTCGGGATCCGCTCCGGCGTCTCAGTTTACCGCGAGCTGTAGCGCGCGGTATACTGAGCTTAGGGTAACGGGAGGACGCTAGTTTGTGTCCTCCCGTTACCCTAAGGAGAACTATGGGGAAAAACACTGACCCCATAGTTCTCCTTTAATCTACAGATTGCAGGCAGGAAATGTGTAATGAGAAAAAACAAAGAGTGTCATTACCAAATGATCCTTTAAGTATAAAAATGTATATTCAAATATATATCACTATTTTATTCTTCCATATAGACTTCTAAAAAACATGGGTATAGGTTTCCCCAAAATGGGAAAAGAATTCAGCATCCAAAATCCCAACATTTATAACCATCAGAGTAGGCTATTCAAACAGCATGGAGCACCTGTATAGATACGCATGATATGGTCTATTATGAAAGTAGGATCCATCAGGGAAGATTGCCCTTAGTATTCCGACACACCACTTAGTGCCAAACTTGCATATATTGAATAAGGCCAAAATACATATTGTTGTGAAGAATATTCAGTCTGTGTGCAAACTGTGCTCAGATCCTAATGCATATAATCCAAAAGAAAGTTCACTGTATTTCATTAGAAATATATCAACAAAATAGTTAAAGTGACATTAAACCCTCAGATTTTTTTTTTTAAACAAAGAATTTTTATTTTTTTAAATTTTTCATAGCAGTACATAAAATATTGCAGAAAACATCAAAGGGTGTACAATGCAGATATACATGTAGCATGATGAATGCGAGTATTCACTTTATCATATTAAAACTCAAGTGCACGGACAACCGTCCGACATGCGTGTTAACAATACATGTAACTGACTTTGTTAACGGCCCAGCCTAGCTCGATAGGGTCAGCTCAAAGCTAGGTCGGGCTCTTCCGCGATAATCTTGTGTACCTTTTTCCTTGGTTTCCAAGGTATGACACTGGTAGTCAGTAGACTAACACAAAAAGAGGGTCTGAAAATGGAAAAGAAACCAGAAAGGAGGGAGAGGAGAGGAAGTTTGAAGAGCGACAACCATGAGACCAGCAAGACATAGGTGATAGTAGTCTCATGCTAACTGAAAAATATTGGGGTTTAGATCTGGAAGTTCAAGTTCGCACCATGGCGTCCACACCTTCCGAAATTTGGCGTACGAGTCAGACAGTACGCTGGATAGTTGTTCATTAATGAAGAAGCCCTGCATACGTTGTTTGAACTCCCCGAAAGGTATTGTCTGCTTCTTCCATGAATGAGCTATTGTCTGTTTTGCCGCCAAAAATACAAAATCCGCTAATTTCTGTTGAGGCCGCCGTAGTTGAGGGATTTTCAAATGCATAAGGGCGTGCCAAGGGTCCCTGCGGACCTTTATGTCAAATGAGATCAATCTATAGATCTTTGACCAAAATCTTATAGCTGATGGGCAGGCCCACCATATATGCATGACATTACCTTCTGAAGAGCAACCTCGGAAGCAATTTTTAGGATAAGATGGGAATGCGTGAGCTATTCTGGAAGGGACCAGGTACCATCTCAGGAGCACCTTATATGCCGATTCTTGAGATAGGATATTATGCGAGCTTTTAGAGATGGACCTCCATATTGAATTCCAGTCTTCTTGGGAGATTTGGTAGAGCCCAGGTCCTCATGCCATTTGGCTACATACGTTGGGGGTGCGGAGGAGGGAGGGGTCTTCAATTGGGAGTAAAGTGCTGCAATAAGTTTCGGGGCATAGGGATCGTTAAGACACCGGCTCTCAAACATTGATAGAGAGGATGGTGGTTCTCCACCACGAAGGAGGGTTTGAATCCAGTGTCTCATTGTAAATAACGGAAAAATTCCCTCGGCGGGGGGTCAGATTTGGCGACTATGGATTCCCATGTGCGGATTCTGGTACCCTCAAGAAAATGGTACATCAGGGAATACCCCTTCACAGACCACCAGGTAAAAGCTGACGGTGATTCCACCGCCGGTGGGAACATCGGATTCCCCATTAGTGTGGATAGGGGAAGATGGGGGGGAAAGCAAGTGACTTGAATATTTAACCGAATCCCACACTTTCAAGAAGTGAAGGAGAAGGGGACTTAGTTGTGTAGGCCCGAGGGTGGGTGGCAGCCATGGTAGTGTAGAAAGGGCAGTAGGATGAGCATTGGGCAATTCCAGGAGAACCCACAGCGGAACCTCAGTAGTGGTATGTAGAGCCGCCAGAGGTGCTATTTGGGCAGCTTTGTAGTATGCTATCAGATTCGGAACTCCCAGACCTCCTCGTGACCTGGGGAGATATACAGTCTGTCTAGCCACCCTGGGGCGCTTATGATGCCAAATAAAAGGTAATGACTGAGTTTTGGAGGGATCTTAGTGCAAATAAGGGTATTGGGATTGGAAGGGTTTTAAGATGGTATAACAACTTGGGGAGAAAAGTCATTTTTACTGCTGAAATCCGGCCAAGCCATGAAATGGGTAGAGTTTTCCAGGATAGGAGCATATCTTTGAGAGTGCGGAAGAGAGGGATATAGTTGGAGGCATAGAGTGATTCGAGTGAGTTTGTTAGGCTTATTCCCAAATACGGGATATATTTGGTTGCCCAGGTAAAGGGAAAACTCTGTTGGAGCAATGTCACGTCAGAAGGTGAGAGAGAAACGTTCAGGGCCAGAGATTTATTTGGGTTAACTACCAATCCTGAGACTGCTCCGAATTCCGTCAGCAGAGAAAAGAGGGAGGGTAAAGAAATAAGTGGTTGAGTAAGGGTAAGGAGTATGTCATCCGCAAAGAGGCTCAATTTAAAAGTGTAGTCAGCAATTTCGACACCTCTGATGGAGGGGTTGCTTCTGATAAGCATAGCTAAGGGTTCTATTGCCAGGATAAAGAGGATAGGCGACCTGGAACAGGGGGGAGGAAAATCCTGAATAGACTATGCGACCTGAGGGTTGGTTATATAGAGCTGCTACCCATGACTGGAATGCCGGACCAAAGTGCCATCTAGACAGTATATATTGAAGGTAGTCCCAAGAGACTGTATCAAACGCCTTCTGAATATTGAGGGATAGGAGAAAGCCAGGCACTGATCTATGGCGAATCAAATCAATTAAGTGAACCACTTTGCGGATGTTATCCCCCGCCTGTCGGAGTGGGGTGAAACCCACCTGGTCTCTATGGATAAGTGCACCTATGAACCTATTGGTCCTAGAGGCCAATATTTTAGTAAGGAGTTTCACATCCGTATTTATGAGAGAGATTGGGCGGTAGTTTGCTACCTCCGTTGTGTCTTTGCCAGGTTTGGGAATCATGGCCACATTAGCTTCCAAAGAGGAAGGGTGTAGATTTTGCTGCGACTTCAAGGCGTTAAATAGGCGAGTCAAGAATGGGGCTAGGACCTCTTTAAATTTCTTATAATACAGGTTGGAAAATCCGTCTGGTCCCGGGGATTTGTTTGGTTTCAAGGAAGAAATGGCAGCGAGGACCTCATTTTCCTCAATGTCAGCATCAAGTTGAGTTCGAGATGCCTCGGAAAGACTGGGAAACTGAAGGTCTTGAAATAGTGCATTCGCTTTAGTAGCGTCAAAACCAGAGGATTTGTTGTAGAGGGCGCTCATATGGGTGCGGAAAGCCTCCACAATTTTGACGGGGTTAGCTGTGGTACCCCCATTAGAGGATCGCAGTTTCACTACATGGCGGGGGGAAGGCAACATTCTGAGTTGTTTTGCTAAAAGTGGACCAGGCTTATTGGCTCTGGCATAAAACATCTGATTTTTCCAGCGCAGTTCCTTCTCTGCTTTAGCGTTTAATAGCAAATTCAACTCCACCTTCACAGCCTCTACTCGTGTTTTAAGGGAGGGCGAGGGAGAGGCCTTCCATTCCCCCTCTAGGTCTGCTAACTTACGTGATAGAGCGAGGATCTCCCTGTCCCTTTCTTTCTTAATAGGAGGAGGCTATACTTATAATTTCCCCCCGCATGGTAGCCTTGTGTGCTTCCCATAGGGAAACCGGGGATGAGACCGAATCCATGTTGAGGGAAAAATAACTCAGGAGTGCGCTTCTAATTTTAGCACAGGAAGTATCAAAAGTAAGCAGCGACTCATTAAGGCGCCAGTTAAAGCTAGGAGGGGCTCTCGGGAGGGCTGAGCACTCGACAAAAACTGGGGAATGGTCTGACCATGGTGTGGATATAATTTTGGCTTTCAGGAATAAAGGAACCGAATGCTGCGCAGTGAAAAAATGGTAAATTCTCCGGAAAACATTATGGGGATGTGAAAAAAAAAGTGAAGTCTTTCTCTGTTGGGTGCAGTTCCCTCCATACGTCCACTAGTTTGTGAGTAGTTAGAAGGGAGCCGACTAGTTTAGACTGCGGGTCTGCGGGTGTATGAACCCGGGGAGCGGGAGGAGTCAAGATGGGGGTTCAGGATAAGTGTGCCCTTGCCATGGTGGGCCACCTGTTGGAAGAAATGTCAGAGAAATCTAGACTGAAAGGTATTGGGGGCATAGTACGTTGCCAACGTAATGTCAATGTCATATAGGGTGCCTTGGAGGATCAGGTAACGGCCCGTAGGGTCCGCAACCTGCTTATTACATATGAATGGCAAGTTTTGGCGAAACGCTATAGCTACTCCTCTTTTTTTCTCATGAAAGTTTGCATGATAGGAGTGTGTATAGTGTTTACCTAGGTAACAGGGACATGAGGCTAGTGAGAACTTGGTTTCCTGCAGGAAGATAATATCAGCCCGGCAAGAACGATAGTAGTTCATGGCTTTATTGCGCTTCACTGGGGCATTAAAGCCCTGAACATTATGGGAAATAATTTTCAACGTCAGAGGAGGCATAAGTTAAGGACTTGGGGTTGTAGCAAAGGTGTGCCACCCATCACCAGTGATGGTAAGGCCACTTTGGAGGTTCTCGAGGTCTGTCACTCAGGGAGGGAACAGAAGAGGGGCAAGAAGCAGGTAAAGAAAGCAGAGAAAGAACCAATGGTGACAGTCATGTGGGGGATAGGCCAATCACCCGGGCACCGTGGCAGGATCATGATGAACTATAGTTCATTAGCCACGGGGAGGGAGAGAAGGGGAGAGGTGTGGT